GAAAAAACTGAACTTTAAAGAAGGAAAGAACGCGAAGTACAAAATACAGATAAGGGGACCCTTTAATCGATGACTTTATCATCTTAAGTGAAATCGGTTTACAGATGGAAGGGGTAATATACTACAGAATGCAGCAATTTACAAACCTTTGCAGACGACAAATTTCTTATCACAAGATCAAGGACTGAACGTTTTACAAAACATGCTAAAACCATGTAAAGAACTGAAACGGAATTTAAAAACACCACAAAATTTAGAGAAACTTCTTCTAGACATCTAGATCTCAATGTTGGATATAACGACTAAATGAACCTTTCGGTATTTTAAATTTTTTGTAAGAAATATTGTTTCGTCTTTCTTCTTTCTTCTTTAAGATTTCCATCTTCTATCGAAGGTTGGAAATCAGCATGGACTATGCGGACTCTGTTGACTGCCGAACTAAAAAGTTCTGCACTACTGCATTCAAACCATTTCCCTTAAGTACTTAAGTGCCCAGGATATTGCTTCGTCACTCCCACATTTCGCTTTCCTCGGATTTTGACCCTGCATAATAAGTTTTGTAAATAATGCGTATTTTTTGCCCTCTCTACCACATGTCCCACAGTACATCAAGTTTTCCGTCTTCTAATAATAGTTTAATATTATTTCCGCCTCATTTCCTATCCTTCCCTTCTAGTTACTTATCCATGTTTGACATTCTTTGAATCCAATGATATATCGTAGGGATTCTTCTGTAACACCAAAATTCAAAGGCGGCCCAGCTTATTCCAGATGAACTTGTTTTTAGTGACCAAAGCTTCCAGACCATAAAGAAGAGTAGAGAACAGCGTAAACCTCGAAGCATTCTCAGGCGTAGTTACTAACCTTATAACCCCGACAACAAAGAAACTTTTTAAGTTTAATAAATTATGTTACGTGCTATTTCAATACGTGTCTTAATTTCTTTGGTTTAGGTCTACATTTGATGTTATCCTATGTTCCTAAATATTTATAGTTATTAACAATCTCAATTGCACTATCTTCAATTAGTCCAATTGGATAGTTGCATGTGCAAGATATAGTCATGATCATGCATTTAGTTTTTCTTAAATTTATCTTCAGTCCGTACTCATGACAAGCGTATTCAGTAAGGCGATTGCATTAGGTTTCTGTAAATCATTGTTTGTTATCCGTAATTATTAGTGTAGCGTCTGCAAAAACGTAAGTTAATTCCAAAACTTCTTACTCCATTGCTAGATATACCTTCTATTGAGTTTTGAGAGCGCTTCTTGAAATACCCGCTTCACTGTAGACATTGAAAAGTAGTGGGGGACAGCACGCCAAACCCTCGGCGGACGCCTCTCTGTATTTTTGATATTTCGGTGGAACTGGGCTGTCCAACCTCTTACCTTGGCCGTTTGTTTCCAATAAAAATTAGATATAATTTCTCCAGAATCACGGACGGTCAATATTTTTGGCTTTTTAATATATCTACAAGCTTTATTATATTGAACTTTATCAAATATTGTTTAAGCAATTGAAATTGAAGCTAGTAAATAAATACCTTATGATAATTATCCTTCTGCCACTGTTTAACTTTATTTATAACGTCGTTAGTTAAACTGTCTCGGATCCGAGAATGAAGATCGCATCTCCTGTCGGCTTCCACGAGTGCTCCCTTCCAAGCCGCCTCCGTGGTGCCGTACTCTGGTCCCTTCTCGATGGCGTCGTTCCACTTTTTCGACCAGGCCTTCAACGATTTGGCGTAGTTCCTCTCGATGTCGGCTCGTTCGCTCACCAACGAGATCAGTTCTTGACAGAGTTTGTAGCCGTCCTCGATCCTTTTCGTAGTCTTTTTATAGTTGCCTGGTTCCCAGAACGAGTCGCTGGTGGCTATGAGCATGTTGTCGTCGCTATGGTGGGACATGATAAAAACGTGATATGCTGAAAGAAAAAATACACAATTAGACTAGAGAAACATAAATTATTTCATTTAAAGCATGTTTTTTGATTGATATTTGACGTTTAGGAGGAGCTTACCTTCTTCGTTTTTTTTGGTTTCGATTGTATAATCATTTACCCAGTACATGTAAGGTTATGCTCATTAGATAAATAATACAGTATGTTATGCTCGTTTTAGAAGATCGCATGATTCCACCAGGATGAAGAAACGATACAAGCGACGTTGGAAACACCAATATGATGGTTGATTGCTATTGGTCACTTCATCTGGAACAACAGAGTGTCCTCGCATAGGAGAAAAAGCTGCTTGAGGAGTTCAACAAAAAAAAGAAAGAAAATACAAAATAATTGACTCCTGAAATAATTGTACAGACCTAAACTATTAAATTATTATAATGTATAATAAACCAGTGTTATATTGTGGGTTATTCGGTAAATGGGGGTTACAATTTTAGCATTTGCAATGCGTTGTTACCGACCCAGACCTATAATAGATATTTCAGATTAAGGGTAAGTTCCAGCATTAACGCAAAATATAAACGAATTGTCGGGTGGAATATTATAAAGAGCACCGTTTTGGATGTTTTGGTGTTTAATAAAAGGTGGGTAGATTATTTTTATTGGTTGGTATATTGTATGAAATGATTGTATTAATAATGGAGGAAGGGAGAAGATTGGGTTGGGGAAAGGAGGTGTGTATAAATTTGTGTGGTGGTGGTGGCAGAGTTTCGACGTATTTTTTTGTTTACTACGAAGCTTATTTTGGAGTAAAAAATGTTAATGTGTGGGGTGAATTGGGATATGTTGAAAGAGGTTATATGAAAGTGTATGTTGGGAAATGTTGTAGGGATTGTATTTAATATTTTTGAATTTATTTGAGAGGTGGGTGGGTTTTTGTATTTTATATATTTATAAAGAGTGTTGGGGGGGGGGATAGGGATATTTTGTAGAAGGTTGTTTTAGGAGTTGTTTTGAGGGGGATGTTGAAGTTGTTGTTTTTTTGAGAGAAAGTCAATTTAATGTCACTTAAAACGCGAGTTTTGAGGAGGTTTGTGGGCGCTTGCTGAGGGTTTTGATAGTACAAAAGTTATTTAGAAGTTTTCTGACAACGTATTCGAATTCTACGGAAAATTGTACACAAAAAAATGACTATTTTGAATTTATATACCACCGATTTTACCGTTTTATAGGAGAACACAATATTAAACGCAGAATTGCGCGTTGTAATCAATACATTTTTGCGCTAGATTTTATTATTATACATATTATAAAATAATAAAATAAAAGAAACACACATACACACCCATTTGTGTTATAGTTGAACAAATATTATAATATTATATAATGGTGTGGTCAGACATTTCCCTAGCCGCTTATATAGAACTTGTTACAATTCGTGGAGCAATTTAAACGCTGAAAAAGGTATATTGAACATTAGTATGGATGATCATGTAATGCCATTTGACCCATTTTTTGGAGTTTGGTCTAATGCAAATAAGGCTCGTCCGCACATTGCAAGAATCACGAGATTACTTGGATGGAATTGGGATTCCCTTATTACCTTGGCCCCCAAGGAGTGCAGACTTAAATCCAATAGAGCATGCATGGGATAATTCGGTACGATGTATTCGATACAATCATTCGACGTCATTTAAACCGTTAATGACTTGAAGCAAGCTCTGCAGCAGTTTACTGACAATGAGAGCAAATACCACAGGAAAAATTTGCTGGCTCAATCCAAAGTGTGTCCTGATCGAATGAGAGCCGCAATTAGGGCTCGTGAAGATACCTCACCCTACTAAATATCGTTTTTTATTCAAAATGTTTAAAATTAGAAAAATGTAATTTTGGTTCCTTAGGAAGATTTCAAATTTTTTATTCTTTTTTCATTGTTAAAGTATTTGTTCATTGTTAAAACACCATGGTGTTTTCGTTAACCACTTTTTGTTTATTATTTTCTTTCAGGGCTTCTCGGGCAGTATCCAGAATATTTTTCTTGTTTTCTCCAGCTAGTCTCTACAATGCTTTCATTTTCGATATTCTCTATTTGTATTTTCTGTTCTCAGCCTTTTTTGATATAATAATTTATGGAGTCATCTCTTAAATTTTCTATTTTTATTATTTCCTCTGAATTGGTTTGTTTAAGATTCTCTTTCCATCTTTCATTGAATATAATTTTACCAAGTACCAAATGGTGATCGCTTCCCACATTGGGTGACGTCAAACTTCTCACATCCTATCACTTCACTATCTGTTTATGGTGAATATTTCTGTTGTGACCACATAATCTATCATTATGTCTATGTCCTCTTGTATTTTCAAACGTGTATTTGTGTTGAATTTTATGATCAAAAAATGTGTTGGTTATTCTCAGTTCGTTTGATGTGCAGAATTCTACCATTCTCATTCCGTTTTCATTGATAACTCTTTCGTTAAAACCTTGTTTTATTCCTGGTATTACTTCGTCTCCTATTCTGGCATTGAAAATCTCCCAATACCTAATTAAATATTAAATACTCAAACTTTTTTAAACGCCAGTTTTGAGGAAAAATCTCTGTATCCCGTTAATTTTGGACTAATTTTGCAGTGTATAAAATAACAACTCGAGGTCAGTCATCAAACTGTTAAGAAAAAAACGAAAATTTTTATAATGCGGTTTGTAAAAATAGTTCTACTAACAATCTAAATAAAGCCAGTATTTCAATATATATTAAAAGTTTTTAAAAAATGTATTGGTTAAGGCTGTAGTAATCTCGCAATTCTTGATAAGCGCCTACAAAATTAGATACGATTTGCTATTAAAATTTTTTGAATACTGAAATTAATAAAAGGTTATCTCATCCAGACACACCCTAATCATTTTTTCGTCATTTTTATACATTAAAATGTTAATTAGAGGTGCATATCGCAAATAATGTATTATCTATTATTATTGATTTCATTAAAGTATTTTTATGCGTGAGTCAGCGACCATTAGCATATTTGTGATAGTTTAATGAAGTAGTTTTATTTTTGGCCATTCGAAAAACAGTAGGAGTGTAAATTCTTAATTCATAGCTTAAAAAAATTAACCAGTTTTTTAAAATGTTATTTGTTAAAAAAGACAGTTTTTTGTTATTGATAATATGGGCGGCAATGTTACGATTGGTCTAATAGATAGAGAGTTTGTTTCTACGTAAACTAGAATAGAGTTTTTTCCCAACTGGAATCGGACCGTTATCTATAGTACAATCAAGTTGAAAAAAACTAAACCACAAATGTTTAACACAAACATGAGGAAATTATAGGTCCCATTGAAAAATCTCATTATTGTTGGAGATTTCAATTTTCCCCAGAAATTCAGCTGGTCCTATTAATTAAAACAATTCAATAACTATACCTTTAATCGATTTCAACAAACTATGACAAATTAACCAACGCATGTCTTTTTCCTCTGGGAGGTCGCAACCATTTGATACTGAGAAAGCATATATCTTCCTTAAAACTATATACCAGCACAGTAGGTATTGATCAAATCCCCACTCAAAAAATTAAATATATTTCTTCATATATAATCGGCCCTGATCAGTCACACATCCATCAACCTTATCTGTCAAGGATGGCGATGTTTCCAAGTGACCTTAAAACGGGGAGTAGTTAGCTCCCATTTATAAAACGGAAGAGCCATGTATTGGTTTGGAAAATTACCAGCCAATCACCGTAACAAGTGGTACGCTCTAAGATTATCGAAAAAGTGTAATTTACAGTAAAATGTTCAATTATCTGAATAAATATATCTTCTTCCTAATAAATCTACAGAAGTGCTTCTATTTCATTATTTAATTATATCCACGCTGCTTTGGATCGAAAAAGATATGTGGGTGCACTCTTTTTTGACTTAACTAAGGCTTTTGAACTCTATTGATATTGAAATTATACTGCATAAAATAAAAACCCTCTGGTTTTCGGGGTCATTTCTTGAACTGGTTAAGTTCATACTTACAACATACGTAAATTCCTAGTAAAAGTCGATAATAAGAAGTCATCCGTTTTAAATCTTGATCAAGTGTGTACCGCAAGGCTCCGTATTGGGAACCCTTAATGTTCTTTTATATGTCCATGATTTGACAAATTTTTTTAACTGCAGACACATAACTTATGCAGATGATTCAACAATTGTAGTTGACGAGTCAACTGAACTCGATACTCATATCAAAAATGAACTTAGTAGCACAGGAATTTCCAATGTGGTTATAAAATCACAGTTAGTTCCTGAGGAAATACCTTTTAGTGATACAACATTATCTCTTGGTAGCATTCTAGAAAGTAATATGACATGGGATGAAAATGTCACTAAAGTATGCAAAACAAGGAATAAGGGTTACTATGGGATCCTTCAGTTGAAAACCCTATTTAACAAAAAACAATTGATAAGTGTGTATTATGCATTGGTTTATTCACATATGGCCTATAATGTTGTCTTGTGGGTAAACTCTGGAAACTCTTCTAGAGTTTTTATAACTCAAACGAGAATTCTTAGATTGATATTCAATATTGATAATAGACAATCATGTCGTAAATATTTTATAAAACACAGGCTGTTGACTTTTCATGCTTTATATATTTATATAAGTGTATTACTCACGTCAAAACTAAATTTCAAAATATTACCCTCAACTCTGACTTTCATAATTACTCGACAAGACACGGAGGTTGATAAGCGTGTGTAAACACTCCACAACTCTCTTTGAAACTAGTCCTGATTTGCAGGATCTAAATTTTATAATTGTACCACTTAATATAAGAAATAAAAAATATTATTCAAAAATTCAAAATAAATTAAGAGCATGCTTGATCCAATTATACGTTTACAACCTAAATGATTATTTTGACTTAATAAAAGACTACAGGGAATGAGGACCGACGGGTTCAGAGACGCTCTATATTGCATATCTTTTTTTT